GAAGGCTCTTGGATGAGAATTGAACTGTCAACAGGAACCAAAAAGAAATCCAGCTACCTTCATTTTAGGAACTTGTCTAGTGACTGTCATGACCTTGAGAACCTACAGAAACATATTGTTCCTGTACTTTTTATGAACTTTTTACAAGATATAAACAACATCTAATCTACTTCTGCATCTCTCAAACCTCTCAGTGGTTTCAAATAAAATCTAAGGATAAATTCTGGAACTGTTCAAATAAAGGCAACAACCAAGTAATAAATCTTTTCATGCATGCATTTAATATATTATTCCTAGGCTTTTGTTTATAAAATATAAACAGAATATCATGACAGAAGCTACGAAAACCTCTTTATGTCACAAATATACAATGGGGATTCTTATCCCATCAAAAAAAAAAAAACTTAGAGTCAAGTTTTCACATACAATAGTAAGGAACAATTACAGTAAAATCCTGCAGATAAAAATGAACTTGTATCCATTTTCTCATGCCCATGTCAAGACAGTCATTCGGAATGAGAGAAAAGTCAGGAAGGAGTATGGCTGGAGATATGTAGGTAGTATTTTTAAGAAACGGAGGAGACTTCTGTCTTGCTGGTTGATACTGAGGTCTCATCTTCAACCATACCACCCATTCCAACTGTTGAAAGCATGCAGTTACGAAACTACAATGGGGATAAAATGAAGAAAAAGAAAAGAATGAAGGAAACTTCATTGTGGTCTTTGTGATCATCCCAAAGCAAAGAATCCAATAAATGACCCTGAATCTAATAAATATTTGCCATGAAAACTATTAAAAATAGGGTTTATAAGACATTACACGATAATTGCATGCAGCCATGAGGACAGATCGTAGCTGCTTACTTGTCCCCATAACTGCTGATTTGCAGGATCATAATAATAAACTGACCTGTTTGTTCATGAGGATGTAGATGATGGGGTTGAACAATGCTGAGCTCTTTGAGAAGAAAGCAGGGATAGCCATGGCTGTGGCTGTGAATGCAGCTCCCTTGTTGAAGAAGATCCATGCAGCAAAGGAAGCATATGGGGTCCAGGCCAAGAGGAAGCCGAAAACCATCAGGATGCACATGCGTGTCACTTCCTTTTCAGCTTTTTGGGTAGAAGCTGAGTCCTGCTGTTGGGATGCAGCCTGTAGATAAAGAAATCATTAGATAATGTCTGTGCTGAATTCAGTGTTGATGTTAAAACTATTCGATGACATGGCTTAGGTCATGAAGGCTGATCAGTTCAAATATGTGACCAAAATGTCAGCAGGTAAGGATGTTTGTTTTTTTCAGAATATTAGAGCAATGTTAGATATTATCTCCAACATTGCCCTAATATTCTGAACAACAACAACAACAACAAAAAACATCTGGATATAGAGGAACAACATTTAATTGAAATAAACATCACTTACGGCCTTCACTGTAAAGACTAAATTTCCATAGGTAAAGAAGATGGTGAAGACAGGGACACAGAAGTGGCAGGTGAACATGTATATGACATAAGATTCGTTGTTGTATCCTGGGGCCAGAGTGTAGTAGTCAGGTCCACAGGAAACCTGAATTCCCTCAGGAATGTACCTGGGAATACATAAAAGGTTAGTTGAATATGAAGCATCAGGTAAAAAAAAAAAAAGAAGAGGTTTTTAGCATCCACCGGTTGAAGTGAATGATATCACCTCAAAGGGAGAGATGCCAGCCTCCTTGAGATTTGCAAAGGCTAACCATTTATTAAACTGGTGCCAAGACTGTTCGTAAATCCTCTGTGTCATCCACAGAAGTTCTCAAAAAGTAGAACAGGAGGAAGAAATATTTCACTCAGCAAATCTTCATCAAGAGAAGCAATTTAAATCCCAAAGATGCATATTCTCTGGAAATGTTACAGCGATACTTCAGTCAGAGGTACACATTATATGTACACAGTACATGTTTTTGAGGTACTTCCAGAGAAAATAGCAAATAATCAACTGATTTAAACAAAACTATTTATTGGGGGCAAAAAAGCTGAACAAACCAGAACATTGTCATCATTATGGTTTTAAACAGTCTCTTAATATAATTTTGTTAATATTACATCAAAGCTGAGACAAGATGTACCTCAAGTGTTTTAAATAACAGCTAAAATAGGAACCGCCGGTGGAGGATTGATGCTACTGAAATTCAGTCTATCCTCAAACTAAAGCAGAGAGTAACTGTATTTTTATGTAGGTTTGTTTTGTTTTTTTGACTTTTTGACTAGTTTGGAAAGTTCATTCAAACACTGCAGATGTTCTCACAGATGTGCTGCACTTGCTGGTTGCTATGCTTTCACTCATCCATCCAATCCTTGAGGTTTAAGTCAGGAGACTGTATTTATGAAGTGTCTAGTTCTTGTCTTCAAATTTTTGAGTTCGTTGTGCTGCTTTAAGTTTGTTTTCCTTTATTACTTCCCTTTGTTATTTCCTTTGCTCCTTTGTTGCTTCTTATTTTATCATTATTGTTGTTTGTTTGTGTGTTTGTTTTGTTAGCATATTACCATTTGTGCTAGCTGTCCTCTTTTTTTTTTTTGTACGTTCCTCTTGATTGTATATTTATCCTATGTATTCCTGCTGTCTACTATTATATTTTATTCTAGCACAGTTCTTGTGGAGCACCCACAATTTTGTTGTACTTGTACAATGACAATAAAGGGCTCTTCTGTTCTATTCTATTCTATTTTTCAGCCCTTCCTTTGCACAAACAGAGGATTTACGAGTAATCAACAAAAGTTTGGGTATGTGTAAGCTGATGTCTTATGAATGAAAGATGAATTATGTTTT